AAACCAACTGCCGCTGAGGCGTTTCCGATTCATAGCAGCCCCTTTTTGGGTTTCTGGGGGTGTATCACTATGGAAGTAGGTTGCCCAGTCTTCCTTCCAAGGAGTAGTGCTTGGTGGATTTGAACCACCAGCCTTTCTGGTTAGCAGTCAAATGTCTTAGGCACTACACTAGGAGAGCTCACTTCCCCTAAAATATTGAAAATAGAACTTTAAAACATATACTCCATAGGGCTTGTAGGATAGAGAGTGTGAGAATTGAGAAGACATGAACAGACGTGCATAGACAATTTTCGATGGTTGGAAGGCCTTCCCACCTTACTTTTTTGCCTGGCAAACTCCTACGCATCATTTAAGACCCAGTTAAAATGGTACCACCTCTGTCAAATCTAGTCCAACATTCCAAAAGTAATTGTAATAATTTCCCCCTCCTCTTGACCATCTCTTCCCTAGCACTTAACACATTGAATTTTATTTCAATCTGGACCTTTGTCTGCTTTTAGCACACCTCTTAAGCCTCTGGAGAACTGGAACTACCCTTTTCACTCTTGGATGTCCAGTCTCAATATTCGTTGACAAAGGAATGCATTTCCAAAGAAGTTACAAATCACTGGCAAACAACCTAGGGAGCAGCGTGATATTAAGAAGAGATATTGCTACTCCACTCAGTGAACAAATCATCAAAACTCAAATAGCACATTAATTATTCCTAGAAAAAAACAAGTGGTTTTGCAGTTAAAATGTTACTGTGTTGTTAGGTGCTAGCGAGTTCATTTTCAGCTCATAGTGACCCAATGACAGAGTAGAACCACCCCATAAGGTTTTGTAGGTTGTAGCTTTTAGGGAAGCAAATAGCCAACTCTTTCTCCCTTAGAGCCGCAGGGTGAGTTCTGTTAAAACAAAAATCATATTAAACCAATAATAGAAATTGACTGAAGTGTATTTAATATATAATTTGTAAATCATAGTAACATTTTGACAATGGAGTCAAAAATGTTCCAAAGATGAGAAAACCTCCAAAGACTCTTGTACCCCATCTCATAGACATTGCCATAGAAGTGGGACCAAGATAGTGTTTTCATAAAAGCAATTTATCCTAAAACACAACTTCTAGTCCTAAGACATTTGTCTGCTAACCAGAAGGCTGATGGTTCAAACCCACCAGCCATTCCTTGGAAGGAAGGTTGGGCAATCTATTTCCGTAGTGATGCTGCCTCGGAAACCCAAAGAGGGGTCGTTATGAGTCAGATCTGACTTGACAGCACATAACAACAACAACAGTCTCACCTTGGAGTTTCTGCTTCTTGAAACTGACTGCGTATAGATAATTCTTCACAAGGCCAAAGGCGAACAATTTTTACAAATGAAGCTAGGCTATGTTGAGCTCTGGTAGTGTAGTAGTTAAGGCATTTGGCTGCTAACCAAAAGATCAGTGATTCAAACCCACCAGCTGCTTGCTCCACAGGAGAAAGATGAGGTAGTCTGCTTCTGTAAGGATTTATAGCCTTGGACACCCAGTGGGGATCACTATGAGTTGGAATTGACTCGATAGCACTGAGTTTTTTGTTTTGTTTTGTTTTGTTTTTTATGTTCACCTAAAGGTAGCTTGGAAACAAGAATGGCTGGACTCAGTCTCACCTACTTTGGTTATGTTGTCAGAAGGGACCATTCCTTGGAGAAGGATATTATGACTGGTAAAGTTGAGGGTGAGTGAAAAAGGGGAAGACCCTCAATGAGATGGATTGACACAGTGGCTAAATGATGGGCTTGGGTATAGCAAGGATTGTGAGGATGGCTCACGACCAGGCAGTGTTTTGCTCTGCTGTACACTGAGTCTCTAGGAGTTGGAGCCAACTGGACAGCACCTAACAATAACAAAGGTAACTTTATGCAGACTGGTTTTGTCAAGGCTCAAGGTTCAAAAGATGAGCTCAGAGAAATGGCCTGGGTGGGTCACCCTAATTCCATGGACCAGAAATCTGGATTCCAGAAGAATTGAAACTAGTTTTCATTTTGAACTGCCAACTTTTCAGTTACAAGCTGAACGCTTGTTTACCACCAAGGCTCATTATTTAAACTTTTTTGGTTCTATTGTTTATATCATTATCCTAGTGGGACATTCAGAACTCTCCTCACTCTGATCCCCATGACTCTTCTAGCCTCATTTCCCAGAACTTCTTTCCACAAACCCATTTCTCAAGACAAATGCTGTTATGCTCTTCTCCCTCTTTAACACTTCATTTTCTGCCTTTGCCTGTGCTGTTCCTCTCCCTGGGCTGCCCTTTCCTGTCTGTCCCCTCAAACCCAACTTGCACTGCCTTTGATGTACTGCTGAAAGATCACTTTCCTTCAGAAGCTGGTCTGATGTCAGTCCTACCCCCAGTTCCCCAAACCTGTGATCTCATGTTCTTCTGAACTCCCTCAACTCCCCTCTGAACTTCCCTGTACTTTGCATATGCCATTTAACATTCTTTGCCAAAGCAGAGTTACTTGTGTGCATGTCCTAAGGAGTCCTAGTAATGCAAACAGTCAAGAGCTCTGCTGCTAACCGAAAGGGTGGTAGTTCAAATCCACCCAGCAGCTCCATGGGATAAAGACCTGGTGATCTGTTTTCATAAAGATGACAGCCTAGGAAACCCTAGGGGCCAGTTCTACTTCGATCATATGGGGTCACTATGAATCAAAATGGCATCCAACAACAGTGACAGCATGCACAGGTCTTAGTCCTCAAATGGACCTCAGCATCTGGAAAAGAATTCCTGAGACTGGTGTATCCTTGTATGCCCCAGAGCACTGACAATGCTGTTCATGCTCAATTCTGTCCACTTTCCTTTTATCCCCATTGTTGGTGCCTGGGCCAACCCACCGTCTGCTCAAGGATTAATGTTATAGTCAGTCTTCTACCATTTTCTGCCCCCTTGATCCATTCTCTTCTACATAGCAGCCAGACTGATCTTTTTTAAAACCAAGGCTTCAAACTGGTTCAAAATAGTTCAATAATTGTCCTAGTAAACAAGAGCCATGTATGCACTGCATAGCAACCAAATCTGTTGCCCGTGGTGGTATTTTGATCCCATTAAGAAACAAAGAGATGACAGCTGACCATGCTGCTTTGATTATGTTTTGCTCTCTAGAGTGCCTCCAGTAATGTTGTTCATCAAAAGTCCTGTCACAGTCCTTCCTCCTAAAAGTTTCAGGATCCTGATACAGGAGTTTGTAATATTGCCAACACACTCAAAGCAGTGCAGTCAGCTGCCATCTCTGAGTGGGATGTAGCTG